TTTTTTTTTGCTTTTTAATTTCCTACAGGTTACTAAGGAATACATGGCCCATTTCGATTATGATTCAGACTCCAATAGTTCATCATGTAGCGATTGTGAACTTTCATTAACTAAAAAACTATTGGATGAGCCTGCAAGAGGTGAGACTCTGGATACAGAAACTGATATGGATTTGATTCAAACATGTCTAGTTCATGTCCCTTTAATTGTTTCCACAATGTTGGTCAAAGAAAAAGGTCTTCATGGTGGGTCAACGAGTGAGAGATGCTATATACATCGTGATAGAAAACGACATGATGTAATTGTCAAAGACTATTTCAGTGGTGAGAATTCGAAATACACTCCTGACCAATTCCGTCGTCGTTTTCGAATGACCATCGAATTGTTTGAATGTATTTCAAAAGCAGTTCAAAGTTATGACAATTATTTCACACTAAAGTTTGATGCCGTGGGGAAACCTGGATTAACTCCTTTACAAAAAGTGCTTGCCTCAATACGAATGCTTGCATATGGTTGTTCAGCAGATTCTCTCGATGAGTATATTCAGATTGGAGAAACTACTGCGATTGAGAGCTTAAAAAGATTTTGCAATGCTATAATTGGTATCTTTGGAAAACGATATTTAAGAAAACCGACCGAAAATGATATTACGGTGTTGTTGGAAGAGGGAGAGAGACGTGGATTTCCAGGGATGCTTGGTAGTTTGGATTGTATGCATTGGCATTGGAAAAATTGTCCCACAGCTTGCCACTTGACTACTTTGACATATTGGAATATAATGAGAAGGTTTCATTAGTTATGTAATATGTTGTTCCCATGCCACTTGTAGCTGCTGCTAACAACAACAAATTTTTTTTTTTCTGTTGTCCTCTATTATTGATGAATAAAACTCATTCATTACTTCTAATTTGAGTTGCAAATCAAGTGTACAGTAAATTTCCAAGTGTATACCAAACTCATTCATTACTTCTAGTTTGAGTTGCAAATTAAGTGTACAGTAAATTTCCAAGTGTATACCAATTAATAATATGCCAGTGGAACAAAAAAGAACAACCATTATTAAAAATTTTTGCTCAAAGAAATGATATGATCCACAGTTAATAATATTCCAGTGGAACAAAAAAGAACAACTATCATTAAAAATATTTGCTCAAAGAAATGATATGATCCATTCAAGTCTTACATTTGAACTCTAGTAACCAAATACGTTTAAAGAATACATTATTAACTTCAACTCTTCAACTAAAATCAATCCCAGTCTTCTCTGCCCCAAATTCCTGAATAATAAATAAAAGAAAAACATAAAATATATATCAAACTTTTTTCAAAAAAAA